ATAGATTCGACTGGAATTCGAACTCGGCTCTCCGAGTCGTCAGTCCGAGACGTTATCCATTACTCTACCATGCATGGGGGATCACAAATCAAATTGTGTGTACACTGACTGATTTGGGGAACCACTTTCTAATGATGCTGACCTCCAGGAGATTGACTCGCTGCGCCAAATTGGACAAACATTCGCGGCTGACATGAAGTGGAAAGACAATATTGAAACCACAGCTAGGTCAGCTGTCCTGAATGTTGGTTCATTGTGTCGTGACGGTTTTTATCCTCAGATCCCCAGAGTTTATCTTACATATGCATGTCTACCATTCGTCCATGCTTAGAATATTGCTGCCACATATGGTCAGGTGCTTCTGCTATCTATCTAGAGCTCCTTGATAAAATCTAAAGAAGGATCAGCAATATTATTGACCCCGATCTGGCGTCTCGGCTTTCCCACCGCCGTAATGTTACCTCTCTTTGCTTTCTATAAATACATTCAGATAATTGTTCAGATGAGCTATTCATTATGGTGCCTAGCCGCTTCTAATTTGAGTACTAGACTAGGGATGAGGTCTCACACATTTGCAGTTGATTTGGCTAAATGTAACCGCAAGTTCTATGCTAACAGTTTCTTTACTCGCACTTCTCGCTTGTGGAACTCCTTTCCGGCTCTATGCTTTCCAGCCATTTTTAATTTGCAAACATTTAAATGCAATATCAATCGCTAAGAAATCCCTGATTATTCTTTCTTCTCTGTTCTCGCTTCTTTTTCTAACTCTTGCGTCTCGTCCTCTTTACTTGCCTTGAAAATTACCATGTGGTTTTCCCGATAAATATAACATTTTATTTTACCGCCAAAATGTCGTCAAAACGTGCGAGTTATAGTGAAAATTTTAAACAAAAAGTAAGGGAGAAAGAATAGGAAACAGAGCTGCAGCTAGAGGATATGAGTTGGATGAGGCTAACATACGTTTTTAGAGAAAGAATAAAAATGAACTAAAAAGTGTAAATCAAATACCAAAGCTATAGATAGAGGAAGAAAAGCTCAATATCCAGATATTGGTTTAGTTGAATTTGTGAAAGAAAGATGATCTCTTTTCTTCAAAATTGGCCTTTTCATAATTTTTTTTTCGCCAAATAAATGTGGTTACTGTTAAACATAAATTTATTGACAAAAATGTTACAATTATTATTGTTGGATATAAAATGAAAATTGGGATAATATCTTTCTTATTTCAGAACAACAAGTACGTATTTATTATTATAAATCAATAACGAAAAAAAAATATTTTTGTTTAAACCTATTTATAATACGCTACTATCACCTGTAATTTACAGTAAAAAATGCGCATTATTTTCGAGAAATTACGGTAATAAGAAATACCTTAATCATACAGCCGCTGGATATTATTAATCAACCCCTTGACCCTCTTATATATATTCATTCTTACTCACAATGCCTCGTGCCATTCTTCGTCAAAGGCTTTTAGAAGTCTGTGAAGGCGTGGCTGAGGTCATTTTGGTGTTCAGAGTATTTTTCGCATAATTTCTGCTTATTTTTCGAATATCTCTTCCGTGGTGATTCTTCCTCTTCGAAATGTAAGAAATACCAGCAAAAGAAATTAATGGCAGCAATCAGTTACCATTTCAAAACATTTTAATTTTAAAATGTTTTTTCTGTACTCAGACAGCGAAATAAATAAAAACTAAATTCAAATTCAATAGAATACAAACATATTTTTCAATCCAGTAAAATATTAAGAGTCAAGTTTTTACTTGAGGTTTAAGTGCCATCATAAATTTTGATATGAAAAGATGCATCAAAAACACTCATGATGTGTCATAATTGTAAAACGACTAGAATTTGAATATAGCAGGCAATTGTGTAAGCAGAAACCCGAAGAATAGAAAATGTAAAACATCGTGGAACTTAGAAATGGTGGAACTCAAAAGTATCTTTTAGACGAGATTAGATCAGATTTTGACATTGCAGACAGACAGTAAATAATCTAATTTCAACATAAATTGAAAATATTCTTGAATATGAAGATAGAAATTGTCGCCATGTTTGTGTGTATCAATCAAGTTCTCCATAATGTGGTTAAACTTTGAAAATACGTATGTGCCACTAGTGAAAAAGTCAGTTGAATTGAAAAGATTTTCTTCAAATGCACCGACATCAGATTCTCGAATATGAAATATTCTAATGGATGACAAAAGATCCAGTCAGACATTTTATCTGCATGACTCTGGCATTCATCTCCCATGAAGCTATATAAATAAAACCAGCTGATATGATGAGGTATTGAGATAGGGTATGAGATAGGGTACATTGACTTATTGGAAATAATATTTCAAGCTTACAAATATGACTAACTGAAGTACCGTGATCTGATGAGTGTTATGTGATATATATATATATATATATATATAACAATATAGTTTGAAGCTATGCTATATTTATGGGTAAAAGTGCTCAATATCAGGGACAGAGCGTGTGTAAATATAAAAGTGGATACTGAGGTCAACACTGAGAGACGAAAGTCTGTTTCATGTTTGAACGCAATCTTTAAGGCACCGAGGCCAACACCAAGAGGTTACTATCTGTTTCATGCTTGAGTGTAATCGTCAGGCCACTGAGTTCAATACCGAGAGGCGACAGTCGGTTTCATGGTGACCTGAAGATTGTGGCCATGCCTGAAAATGAACGTCACCTCTCGGTGTTGTTCACACACACACACACACACACATATATATACACACACAGTCCGCTAAAAATCTATACGCACTTCATGAAAGGAAACATTTGTATAGATATTGTAATAGTAGATTTATTCAGACATCACGAAATCAATAAAAGTTACTTTTCGAATCTACAATCACAAGAAATGCTCAAAATGGTGACCTTTAGCTTCCAGACATTTATTAGTACGACGAACTACTGCTAGGGCAACGTTGGCCAAAGTGTCCAGTGCTACATATGCCTTTTCAATTGATTGTCTAAGGACCACCAATGTAATAAATTTTCTGCGATACAAAAATCCGTTAGGACTTGTTAATGCTACATCCATGAAGATAATGCCATCTGACGAGATAATATCGTACTATAGTAAACACTTATTGCATTTTGATAAAACTATGAAATTTTCTTTCCTGAAGTGTGTATGCATTTTTGACAGACTCTTTCTCTCTCTCTCTCTCTCTCTCTCTCTTATATATATATATATATATATATATATATATATATATATATATATATATATATATATAAAACATACATTTCTTATAAATTACTTTCTTTATATTTTGATACAAAAAAAAGAGATAGTTTAAACTAAAAGTTCCAATGATGGAAAAGATAAGTTTTATTTTTCTCTGAGTTAATTTGTGGCTTAGCTAGTTTCTCCTAATGAAAAGGGCGAGAAATACAAAAGCAGAATATCCTTTACAGAAACATGGATTTTGACGCGCAACCGAGTCATATGGAGGGAGCCGGTCAGTTGCTCAGCTGCGCAGCTACCTTACAATGACACCCAGTCATGGGACTGACGACGATGATGAAAATGATGACTGGAATGAAGATTAAACTGCAGAAGCTTCTAGAGAAATGAATGTTGAAGATTTACCGAGAAAACTTTATACCCACAACCACCGAAAACCTAAAATTCAAGAAAATAAATAACCAGAGGAATGTGTCTAACAGGGCAAATTGACTGAGATAATAAAGAAGACCTTTTTAATCATTTTACACCAAGAAAGGCAATAAAACCATTAGGACGCAAGCGGGGTTGCTGGGATTGAAAGCGAGTGGGAAGACTTTAGCGAGGAGAATGGACAATAAAAGAACAGGTATCAGAAAAACAAAAGGCGGCAATTAGAATTTTGAAGATTGTATGTAGCGGATAATTAAGAAAATCGGAAAGGAGTTCCACAGGCGAGAAGTGCGAGAAAAGAAACTATTAGAATAGAACTGTCGGTTGCATCAAGCTAGTTCAACAGTAAAATTGTGAGACCTAGTAACCAATCTAGTAGAAAAAAAAAAATCACATCAGTTGCCATTAAAATATTTATTGAAAATATAGAGCGAATCCACGTCGAGATACTAGGCCAGGCAGACCAGATATGGCAGCAATATTCACAGCAGGAGAGAATGGTAGATTTATAAATGTGCAAGATGGATTCTGACGAAATAAAACTGCGTGATACAGTGAACCAACTTTCCTAGCAGTAGACGTAGTGATCGATTCAATATAGTCGTCCCACTTCATGTTAGTAGAAAATGTGTGCACAATGTTTTGCTCTCCTGGAGGTTAACATTAGCCATGCTGATGGCAGGAAGGAAAGATTCTCTATGGTGATTAAATGAAACCAGTTTTATTTTGGAGACGTTAATATTTACAAACATTTCTTTGCTCCAATTAACCACTGATTGGAGGCCATTTTCGAGAGCAGTTACCAGTTTTACTTTGTATGATCTCTTAGACTTGCTACTAAGACAGGAGTATCTAGTTGTGTCATTTGCATAAATACATAGTTAAATGTAGAATAAAGATGATAGAGCAATGGCAGAAAGATTTAAAACTGGAGAAAAAACAACGAAAAGGTAGAATAATAAAAGAAATGGTACGAAGCCAGAACAGCAACAGAAGCTGTAAATATTTCTATTTTTTAACAAGAGAGAGAAGAGAAGTTGTGTGAAATACAGGAAAGACGAGACGAAGTATTTTGATAGAATCAAAAGGTTTCAAAACGAGGCAAGATTTCCAGTGTGTGTCCGGAGACTATCAAAAGTTATTATGTAATCGTATTGAGAAGTGAGCCGTTTATGAAGGCATTTTGAAAACAGCTGGGGGAGATATTAAAAGAAAATGGAAGGAGTTGGTAACGATAAAGAGCTTTTTACGTAAGGTAGATAAAAATGGAGAAGAGCAAATGGAGATTTGAAATGCACAGTTGTGAATTTAACGATTAAAATTCAAAGGGAAAATGTCACTTGATATTTTATCGCATTCAACCATCACCCGGAAATATGTGTGTGGTGTGTTGGGGAAAGAGAAAAAGGCAAGAGAAAGAGAGAGAGAGAGGGGAGAAAAAAAGCTCCAGAGAAAAAGTAAAAGGGGGAAGGAGACAGATAAGAGAGATAAAAAGGGGAGAGAGAGAGAGAGAGAGAGAGAGAGAGAGAGAGAAAGAAAGAGGCGAAAGAAAGAGAAGAGAAAAGCTACGGCAAAAAAACAAAAACAAAAAAAAACAGAAAGGACGAAAGAGACAGATAAGAGATATAAAAAAGGGAGAGAGAGAGAGGAGGGGGGTAAAGAAGGAGAAGAGAAAAGAAAAAGCTACAGAGAAAAAGACAGAAAGGGGAAGGAGACAGAGAAGACAAACAAAAAGTGTGGAGGAGAGAAGACAGTGGGAAATGAGATTTTGATTCAAAGAGAGAGAGAGAGAGAGAGAGAGAGAGAGAGAGAGAGAGAGAGAGAGAGAGAGAGAGAAAACAATAACAAAAGAAGAAGAGTAGTCAAGGATAGTGAGAGAAGTACGCCAGAAACGCAGGCGATTGTTAGAGGGTATGCTCTACTTGCTATTTAACCCATAGATGGGCGGAGAAGACGTGGATTCATAGCTTTCTCAAGCGTATTGGTGCGAAAGTTGACGTAATGCACTCGATTGGAATCTAAACTCGACACGTCGATTCCACTTACTGCACCGCTACGCGTACATGCATTGCATCAGTACATTAACTACAAATATTTCTGTGAACCTCTTCATCAGTTTTTTTAAAATTAGGGAAAATTAAAAGCGTAGTACATTAAGTAACGCAGTTAGATCAAAATTTATGGCAGTTTGGTTTCTTTGAAAGAAAGAAAGAAAGAAAGAAAGAAAAAAAAAAGAAAGAGGAAGTGATAACGTACACATAAAACACTTGGTGAGGAACGAACTTTTGTTCTATCTTAGACTAGTTCAGTGACGACAACGACGACGAAGAAGAGGAACAGGAAGAATAAGAGGAAGAAGAAGAAGAAGAAGAAGAAGAAGAAGAAGAGGAAGAAGAAGAAATAGTTTGATAAAAAATAAAAAAAATGTAATAATAATAAAAATTCTTGAGACCTGAGAAAATTTCACGGTTTTCCTGTTTTTATTTTTTTATGTAGTGTAATATTTTATGAATAAATATGCTCCCTGCGAGTTCCACAACTATAAAATACCCGTGGAATTTCCCCTAGTGTATTGTTAAATATTTGAACTGAAAAACTAAACCAAATATTGCAATAATAATTATAATTTTCAATGCAGGTCATTATTTAAAGAAGTAAGAGGGTACAAATGAAAAGACAAGCTGATAAATTTTCAGTGTCTCTGACGCAGACATTAAAAACATGAGAGCGTTATCACCTCTTCTTTTTTCCTTTCTTTTTCTTTCAATGAAACCAAACTGCGTCTTTGATATGTATTTTTGTCTTTCCTCCCGATCAAACGGAATTGTCTATTATTTATGAGATACTTACAGGGCGTAACGGACATGCGAACTTTTCATCATCAACAGACTCTGAATTTTTGTCTATCGTAATGAACCGGTATTATCTCAGGGAGACCCCGTGACTTGTGCACCTATTGGGACGTAAGCTCACCCCAGACGTCAAGATGCTGGAAAAATGGTCAGTTCCCTGTACTGCTTCAGTATGTACGTGACTTCTGCTATCCGCTGCCTTGACAAGAATCAGATCAGACAGAAAATTGAGTAGAGCTGCCATATATGAGCAAAGAACTGCCAGTCTTTACTTTCTCGCGTCGATGGAGTTCAAAAGCGTCTACGCGGTCTTGTGGGTGATGGATAATTTTACAATTTTCCTCGAGTGGCTCTTGGCTCTTGTATTGGGTGAAGATTGTTGTAAAAAATAAACTAAGGAACAAGGAGGACATTAATAATTCCAGTTGGAGTTGGAACCGTCGGATTTATTGGAAAAGGTTTCGATAGACTCATTGAAGGGATTCCTGGTAGACTATTCCTTAAAGGAATACAAAAAATTGTACTCACAAGTACAGGTCACGCATTACGAAGAGCTTTATTTATGTAAAATATGTGTGATCTTGGTGTGGGGGGGTGTTTTGTTTTTTACAAAAATGATCAGTGGAAAATGTCACGAATCCATTTTTGATCTTAGGTCATTGGTTGGGACCCGGAAGGAAGTGTGTGTACAACAGAAATATAAGGAAATAGTAATAATAATAATAATAATAATAATAATAATAATACCTTGATGATAAGAAAAACGAGAAAATAGTGTGTGCTGAAGAATAATTGAAGAAAGATAAGAGGTCGAATTAACTTATAAAAAGTGAGAGCATATGTAGGTGGAAGACGAGAACAATTTCATTCAATTACGCCAGCAGAATTATCTGGTGAGGTCATGCAAGAGATGGGAACGTCAGGTAAGCAAGAGGTTATTGCGCAGTGTCGAGAGCCGACGGCGGCAGAGCAAAGGATAGACGCAGAGACGGGCGAAGACCTCAGTGTACTAGGCGTACAAACAGTGTTCGCTGTTTGAGGCATTAGATCGTCAGCTAATTATACCTGAGAGACGCTAACCTTTTAAGCTGATTCGTTTTGTTTTTGTTCTTTAATTCTTTTCCTCGTTTTATTATTATTATTATTATTATTATTATTATTATTATCTAATCTTTTATGTGGTTAGTGAAAAAGAATCCAAGAAAAGACAGTTACTGATTATATTTTGGTTTAAACGTTTTTGCATTCGAAGCACAAGCACCGAGCACCCTGGTGGGAGTGGTGTAAGCCGCGAAGCTAATAGAATAGCTGGGTGCCAACGAAAGATCGCCAGAAGTATAAAATAATATATATATATATATATATATATATATATATATTAGCCTTTTTTATATTAATAACATATGCTTTCATTCCTGACCACTGACAATCCCCTTTTTTTCTTATTAAGTTCGGAAATTTTGTCAGTCGAAATTAAAGTAAAAAAATCGCAAAATTCAATGTTTAGTTATTATATTTGGTTTGTTTATTTAGAAAGAAACAAAAGCTCTGCGGGAAGTTGGGAATGGTGGCTTAGCGGATAGGTTCGCCTTTCGTCCGGTTCACACTCCTCCTGGTATAGAATATAGGTTTATCCTTTGTTTCCTTTTTAGGATTGGGTTCCCGGTTCCTTGTCATTCCCTTTCACTCCCAGTAGCCACTTGCGTCTTAGTATCATTATCGCCTTACTTGGGGTGAATTGATTAAAAAAAAAGTTAGCAGCTAGCGATCGGAAAAACCCAAATCATTTTAGCTGCTTCAAACATTAAAATACCGTAATTTTCGGAATATAAGACCCACCAGTTTATAAGACGCGCATTCATTTTGAAGACAAGGTTTAAAAAAAAAAAAAAAAAAAAAAAAAGAAGCTATATTTGTACTTGGAAGATTTTCACTGAACAAGAATTCAATCTGATACTTTAAAAATTAGTCTAGAGGATGCCAGGGGTAAAGTGTCGCCATGTTATATTTTTAGTTTCGCGCATGCGCGTTGTTTGCTTTTGATGTTGTCGACAGCACAGTATAGTAGGGTCAGTTGGGCACTATATGTGAGAAAAAGAGCACCATGATTCAATTTACTCTGCCAGAAATTTGGAAAGAGCATGATTTATTGTTTGGCATTCGCACCGGAAGCTCCAATACGAACATTTCAGAGTGCTTGGCTGTCAATCTGAGAGACCAGAAGATTCGGAGTTTGAAGTGGTTACTAGTGATGGTGACGTTATGCCTCCATTCATCTACTCACAGGGTCTCAGACTCAACAGGGTGTCCTACATCAAATGTCTTGAGGAGGTAGTGCTTCTAAGGGTCAAGACGGTGGCAGCTGCAGACACTATATCTGGAAACAGGACTCTGCATCATGCCACACAAGTAGGAGAACCCGGTCATGGCTGTCACAGAATTTCTGCATCAAAATATACTATCCCCATTGTTTCATTTGTTCGCTTCTTTCACTGAACTAGAGTCTGTCTATTTATAAAATTTTGTGACTTTTGTTAATCCGTCCGTCACATCCTCTATAATAGCCATGCATTGTCCGATCGAGAGCAAATTTTGGGGAGAAGTACAAATAGGTCTGGGGGTACAAAGTACAGTTAATTTTACTAGCGTGCGTACCAACTGCGGAGTAGGGGTTTTGTCTAAGTATGTTTTCAAACAAATCAGCTTATTCAAATTTCATCGATTAAACAATACACGGACATGGCAATAATGATAGTCTGTTTTTGTTTGCATGGAAGATTTCCAAGCAATGACAAACTCGTGCATACGAGACGCTGTATTGTTTAATATATTGTAATGTTATTGTCATCTTTGATAATAGCTTATGTAAGCCGAAAGCTTAGTTAGGATTAAAAAAAAATAACATGTATCAATATGGTGATTTTCTTTTGTCTTTCAATGAAAATGTTATTAAGCTTATCAACATATGAAAGTAATATCTAATAAAATAGACAAAACTTTTCTATATAATTTAATGCTGCCTAAATACACGCACAACATGTATATATATATATATATATATATATATATATATGGTGGACTCTCCCGTCGTATTCGATGTATGAGGGTCAAGCAGGTCAGTTCCTAAGAACCGACAGCCAGACACCAGCACATGTGATTTGATTCAGAGACCAGATGCACTACGTGCCACAGGGTCCCCAAACGACCCACAGGTTTTGAATTCAGAGTTGTCCTTTTCCTAGACCAGTTGCCATCCAAGGCTATAGAACCCATTCTGCCCTGCTATTTACTCATAGTTGGAAGCAGAAGAAGAGGTTTTGATTCCTCAATCCGAGCTGCTATTCACTACTCCACAGTTTTATATATATATATATATATATATATATGAATAAAGACAAAAAGAAAACGTTTTGTCTCCTGATGGATTTAAGGCAAATGTAAGGATTTTGTTTTGCAACAAAAATGTATTAAAAAATTATTTAATAAAAATATTAATTCTGAAGCATGCATATATAAAATAAACTGTCACAACTCTTCCGTATATGTGGAGGAAACTTTCGGAAATTTACAAAAACGTGTGAAATATAAAAGTCGTGATGTAGCTGGTAAAAAATACCATACCGCTCAACAAACATTCGTTGTCCGTTCTGTTTTATATGTACGAATGCATTCAAAAATATAAAAAAATGTATCTACGAACACAAAAGGGATCTTATACACAACAATATATCAAATGGATTATTTATACGCAGCAATAAGTTCAATGACAAATTCGATCTAAAGAATGTCACACTTATTAAAAGAGACAGAAAACCTTGAGAGTGCCGCTACCGAGCAAAATATAAATCTGCGTCCCGGAATTTTTCAAATGTCTCCTTTCCTAAAAGAAATACCTCTTCCCCCATACCAACATATATGACTATAATTTTTTTTAAAAATTAAAAGAAAATGATTACATTCAAAAACTTATTATTTAAAATATATAAATACAGTGAAACCTCGGTTCACGAATTTAATTCGTTCCTGAAAGACGTTCGTAACCCGAAATGTTCGTAAACCGAAATTATTTTTCCAATATGAATCAATGAGAAAAAAGTCACAGTACAATAAAATTGGAAAAGAAAAGCATGGCACAACACACGAATGTATGCAACATGGCGGTCGACTCAGAAATAATTTCGTTCGGGTTAACTCGCTTCGGTAATGTTGTTCGGAAAGCATTTTTATCTCGAATTTTCTGTTCGAAAACCGATTTGTTCGACATGTGAGACGTTCGAGAATCGAGGTTGCACTGTACATAAATTCAAATAACAAAATGAAATGAAATAAATAATAATTGCATTGTAAACAAAAATTCAACTGCAACAATAACAACATTTACTCACTTTCGTCTATTAGGCATTAAATTACATCACTTAGCATCCTCCATAGTTTAACATGACTTTCAGTTCGCCACATATATTTTTACACACACACACACACACACACACACACACACACACACACACACACACACAGAGGGCGCGATGGGTAAATTGTCGCCATTTTATACTTTTTGATTTTTCGCATGTTTGTTGTTTGTGCTTTTTTTATTTAGTCGACTGCATAGTATAGTAGGGTCAGTTGGGCACCGTCTGTGAGAAAAAAAGAGCACCATGACTCAATTTGCTTCACAGAAATTTGGAAAACAGCATGCTGTACTACTTAGCATTCACGCTGGAAGCTCCAATGCGAACATTTCAGAATGTTTGGATGTCAATCTGAGCACAGTGCAGGGGATTCGGAAAGAGATGGATGATATCCAGTAAGTTATTTGGATTGATCACGAGTGATGGCAACGTTATGCCTCCATTCATCCTCCCACGGGGCCTCTTACTCAACACAGATGCCTACATCAAGTGCCTTGAGGAGGTAGTGCTACCCTGGGTCAAAAAGAGTAGCTGCTGAAAGAACCTATGTCTGGCAACAGGACTCTGCACCATGCCGCACAAATAAGCGAACCCAGTCTTGGCTGTCAGACAATTTCTGCGATCACATTACCCCTTACATCTGGCCATCTAACTCCCCGGACTGCAACCCCTTGATTATTATGTGTTGGGGTGCAGATGAGCGGGAGACCAACAAAACTCCTTGTAACAAGGGGGCAAGGATTTTGGCAGCATTCACTAACTTAAGCAAGGAGACCGTCTAGACGAGTTGCAGGAGATTCCGATGTCGTCTGGAGGCCGTGGTTGAAGCCAATGGCGATTTTATTGAATATATTTACTCTTTAGTATTTCAAGATAGTTTTGTGTAATTTTGGTAAACATATATTTTAAAATGGGATGCCAGTGTTATTTTCATTTTTGCGTAACTTATACGACAATTTATCAATCATATCCTGTATGTGTGTGTTTGTGTGTGTGATGTGTGTGTGCGCGTATATATATATATATATATATATATATATATATATATATATATCAGTACATACATACATACATATGTATACTGTTGCATTCATATATACATGTATGCATACGTATACGCACACGTATGAATACAAATATGTGCGGAGTTGAGAAGGAAATAAACCATGTAATGAATCATGATAAACTAAAGAAAACAATCCTTCTTCCTATCGTTTGCCATTTCCTTCTTTTGCGTTGTTCTGTTTTCAATTTCAGTCGTTTGGCATTGGCTGGTCATAATTCTCTTCAGCTATGCACATATACCCTCTCCTCACAGACACAAGCACAGATTTCTCCTCTTCTTCTTCTTCTTCCTCCTCCTCCTTTTTGTCTTCTTGTTATTTCATTCTTCTGCTCACGGTTTTTCACCGAAGAAAGATAGAAGGCAATCCAATGTATCACTACGCAGCTTTCTGCGCCGATGCTTGTCGCCTGTTGGCCCCATTCATTGAACCTGACAATACGGGAAGTAAATCTTATCATCCGCCATTAGCCAGATCTGAACGACGTCGTGTCAACACTTTATATGTTATGCTATTATCTTCTCTTAAATACCTTTCTTCGACATAATTTTAAATATCAAACGACCCCAGA